CCTCCCCCTTTCGGGTTCCAACACAGCCAACCTCTTTCCCACCTCTGGACCAGTCTCTCCAAAAAACTCACTTCCAGTGACTCCAAAAAAGTCAGTTGGAAAGGGAGTTTTTGGAGCTGGGCCCTGCAGGCTGCAAATGTGCTTTGTGGAGGTCCTCTGGGATGGGAACAAGGGTGTGTGTGTGTGTCACACCTACAGCTGAGTTCTGGGCCAAAAGCACAACTGCACAGCTGAGCACCGGGGAAAACAACATTCCTGGAGGGATGCCACGTGCCTGGGAGGATCAGCTCTGTGAGAGGGAATACAAGTGCACACTGGGATGCTGCCTGTGCTTTGGGTCCCTCTGCAACACTTAAAGGGATCTTCAGTAGTGCTGGAAAACCCTGGCAGGGCCCAGGGAAGGAGGCCACCCCATCCTCTGTGTCCCCCTGCCCTGCCCTAGGGACAGCAGGAAGGCTGAGGGCATCTCCTAGGAACCAGTGAGGAGCTGCAGCTCCCAGCAGCGAAATGCTGGGTGTGGAGCAATCCCTGGCACAAATCCAGGCTGGGTGGAGAACGGAGGGAGAGCAGCCCTGAGGAGAAGGGCTTGGGGGTGTTGGGTGACGAGAAGCTCAACATGAGGCAGCAACGTGCCCAGAAACCAACTGTGTCCTGGGCTGCATCACCAGTGTGACCAGCAGGGCCAGGGAGGGGACTGTCCCCTCTGCTCTGCTGAGACCCCACCTGGAGCACTGCAACCAGTTCTGGAGCCCCCAACACAAGAAGGACATGGAGCTCCTGGAGAGAGTCCAGAGGAGCCCATGAAGATAATCCTTGGGCTGGAGCAGTTCTGCTCTGGAGACAGGCTAGGAGAGTTGGGGTGTTCAGCCTGGAGAAGAGAAGGCTCCAGGGAGACCTTAGAGCACCTTCCAGTGCCTGAAGGGGCTCCAGGAAAGCTGGGGAGGGACCTGGGACAAGGGCAGGGAGGGATGTGATGAGGGGGATGGATGAAAATTGGAAGAGGGAGATTGAGGTTGGACATGAGGAGGAAATGCTTTGCTGTGAGGGTGGTAAGAGCCTGGCCCAGGTTGCCCAGAGAAGCTGTGGCTGCCCCATCCCTGGCAGTGTTGAAGGGCAGGTTGGATG